TACATGTTATTTATGGAAAAATGCTCAAATTTCCTCATCACAGATTTAAGAAACTCTTCTGAATATCTATTTGCTTTTTTCTCATTGCTTTTTTTTTTAATGAGAACAATTGCATGAGATCAAGTATCTTTGTTCCTTAGGAGATCATCTGCTCCTGCTGCTCATTTACCATCTGAAATCATAATCATCTGTTGGTGACAATCTAATCATCTTCACAGTAACTAATTGTGATGTCACAAACAAATGATTATGATTTCAGGTGGTGAACAAACAGCAGGAGCAGATGTACTCTGAAGAACAAAGACTGTAAAGTCATGCACGAATCCCTAGTAATAAAAAGTTAGGCAAGAAAAACAAAGAGCCTGTCCTTTATAGAGAGGTAGGATTGCTTTGAATGTATTTTTTTTTATTATTAGTTTTTCAATACTTACTTTGTGACTCCCAAAATTGCTGGAAATAGATAAAGGAAAACTATACTATGGAAAATTGAGGGTGGGGAACATATAAAAACAGTAAGGGTCATTTTTTTCTTGTTAAAATTACGATATATAAAAACACTGTTACTTTTTCCTTTTATTTTTATATATTTTTGTTCTTCCCAGCTCATCTACAGCTTCTCCTAGAACACATACTGTATGATCTTTGTGATTACCCTATCCAGAAATATAAAGTCAAAATATGTTCCCAAGAAAATGCACTTTGCATTAGGATTGTTTATTGTTTCATGCTTTGTTTTTGTTGATAACTGCTTAAGTCAAATCCAGAGAGATAAATGAGCATTCTGTTGACAGTAAACATCTCCTGTATGGGCTGCAAATGCTTGTGGTCTGCCCATAGTATCTCAAAGTCTCTTCCAGAAGCACCAGGGAAAAAAACTCATTCAATGTTCTTGTTATTTCACGTGTGAAAAATGTCTAAGATACCCCAAACCAAGAAACAAATAGCTTCTTGTTTCATCTTTAAGATTGTGAAATGAAGAGGAAAGGTAAAGAAGTAAACCTGTGGGAAGAAGCTTTGCCGGCGAGTAGGAGGAACAGAAGTGAAGTTTGCCGCAAGGATAGCTGCAAAAGTAACATGATAGAGGGAAACAGGAGAACTTAATTTTCAGCGGTATTTAATAGGGAATACTAAAAATGCATTGAGAAAGTATGTAGGAGGATACGGACTGTAGGGTATTTCTCAGCAAAAACAAACTACATAATAAGGACACAATGAAATCTGTTCTTCAACTGTACTAAAATATGTAACTGTTACGATTTTTGGTTTTGTTGTACTAATGTATACAACTTCACTTTACTATTCCAGTTTTATTTCATAGTTTCAGATGGAAACAGTGCATTATGCACACAGAAAAAGAGTATCAGCCTGCAAAAGGAAACTGACGCAGAATACGTTGTCCTAACAAGACACAATTGTTTTCCTGGAATAAAATTACTGGAAATCTGAATAAGAGTTGCCAAAAGACAGATGTAGCAATCTCAGAGCCTCGGATTTTCAAGACCACTGAAAGTTAGGTTTTAGGGTAACAACAAATGCAAACTGTACATTTCTCTTATAAGCAAGGATACAGAAGGCAGGAAGCTACTCCATTTGCCTTCTTTAAAACTTCCTACAATAATGATGACACTGCAAGAGTAGATTCACCTACCAACAACTTGTTCTTAAATATAAACTAACATATTCATACTTGAAAGGATGTGACATTTTTGATCTCAAACAGTGGAACTTGTTTGGAACTGCCTTAAAAAAACCCTGTATGTCACAGGTGCATGAGAGATCATGCGTGCAAGTGATTTCTTTTATTCAAAAGGACACTTCAAATTTCCTCAGTTCTCCTTGACTACAAAGCTCTGACGTTATCTTGGACTCTGGGGCTTAGGGGAATATCAACAAGTGTGCGCAGGGAAAACTCTTACTAATGCTAGTTCTTCTTCAGGATTTTTTATGCTTTCCCTGTGTGGGAAGCTAACACACAATATTCTACCAAAAGCAGAGCAGGCAAAGTGCTCATAGGTAAACATGTACTGGCAGACGATCCCCCTACTAAATATTAGCACGGTATTTCAACAAGTAATCATGTCTACGGAAAACTGGTGAGAAATATCAAGCAATACTGTGTAGTATCAGCAATCCCCTGATCTCAGTCACATCTTGAAAAACAGGCCTCTTGATAGAGCCATTCAGTAGGAAGGTAGCAACTGAACTTACCGGTTACCTAAATAACATACAAAAATGTTCTATAAATTTTCTATCCAGGAATCTGTGGTTCCTTCCTATATATTAAAAAAAAAATGGTGTGATATTTTTATGTATTGAAAGATCCACAGTATAGAAACTACTACAGTGGTTTTCTATATAAAAATACACTTTAATACAGTGCCAATCGATACAGCAGATTCATAATTCTATCAGAAAGGCCATTTTAGTTTAGAAATACCAAGAGAGGTTTCAATGAGAAACTCAAAAAAAAGACCTATTAGCAATTCATTCAGCCAGGGGTGATATCACATTAACGCATTTAAGGAAGAAAAGTGCATTTCTAGGTCTTCTATGAATCCTGGATGAGACTGTAAGGTGAAGAAAAAGTGCTCTGTCCTCTACATTACTGTAACAGATTCATTCTCCTCTCATGTCTTTATATTGAAATCACAGTTAAGGTGTAAATTTTAAAGAAAATACCTTAGAAGAGAAAGGCCCTTTATGAGGTGAAGAGTTAAAAAAAAAATCAGTAAAAAACCATATATGCCTGTTGACAGCATTTTGGGTTCAAACCCTTCCTATTTCACAAAAAGATAGCACGGTCCCTCTGAAATAAAAATTTATACCCTTTAATCAGCTGATTATTATTAATGTTGCCTCTAGATTTGAACCCTCAAAAAAGGAGTTAACTGATTAAGCCCAGTGGACTCCGAACCGCACTGTCAGAAATAAATGCTCTATGTCTATTGACATGCTAGCTATATCTCCTTTGATTTCCAATTTACTTGGAGATCAGAAGAATGGAAATGAAGGCATCTAGAAATGTCTTTCATGCATTAGAAAAGCATACCAGAATGAAAACCTGTTTCTGTACCATGGCCTGCAGTGGCTGCAAAAAGGTCTGTGAGCAGGTGAATCTGTGAAAAATAAGGTATTGGTCAGCACAGGTTTAAAATACAATTTTTGTTGATCTTGTCTCCTGTTGAGTGAGTTTGCTTTTGTGTTCTCCTTCTAGGTTTGGATTTACATGTATGACTGCTGAAGTTTTCTTGCCAGATGAAGCCTGGGAAAGGGATTGTTTTTTCTTGTTGGTGTAGTAGATGGCTGTGATGTCATCTATAAACATCTTTTGCTACAAGACACTGCAAAGATAGGACAAAAAAGCTAGAGGTCTTATTCTGCTGTCCCAAACTCCAATATGTTAACATTTGAAAATGTTAACATTTGAAGATGTCTCACAGGCCATGTTCTTAAGAATTTTTGACAATGCAAACAAATTATCTAGAAGTATTGATGAGGATTGATGATAGGGGTGGAAGGAAGCAATTAATAAGAAGTCTTAGAACCTGTAGAATCCTTCTTTTCAGGGAAACACAATGGCCTGTGCTGAATCCAAGACCACTTTAAAAACTAGCAAACTTCTGTGTAAGTTGAAGCACAAATTATTCCCCAGGTCTAGTGACCAGGAAGACTGCATACTGGAATACTACTGAACCCCCTTAAAACCTGCTTTTAGGACCACCTCATTCAGATGTATATAGGCAAAAAATAGAAGGTAACTCATGCGTGTGTCTGTCTCTAGTACAATCCTTAGCTGAGGGAGATAATGTATGGGACTCTTAAGTCTTAAGTTCAAAACTCAACGCAGTTCTAGAGAAGAATGCAGGACTCATGGAAAAGTGAGGGAAGTACTATGTATATTATCTTTACCACTCTAAACAGCAAAAACCTAGTTACAAAGCCACAAAGGTCTGTCCTATTCAATACCTATCGCAGGTAATTTTCAGCCCATACAAGTCCATTAGACCAAAAGGGATATACCTTAGCGTGCTGAGTCAACCATCTTATGTCACTGTGAGACCACTCTCTATTATCTTCAAAAAGTCATAGAGATCAGGAGAGGTCCCCAATGACTAGAGAAAGGCATCATCATCATCAGAAAAGGCAGGCTGGTCAGCCTCCCTTCAGTCCCTGGGAAAATCACGCAGTAAGTCCTCTTAGAGCCTTTTGTGGGCACACAGAGGAGAAAAAAAGCCATTGGGAAAAATCAGCATGAATTTACCAAGCATAAAAACAGCCTCAACAACCTGATTGCCTTTTACGATAAAATGACTGGATTTATGAATAGAGAGCAGTGGATGTCATTTACCTTGGCTTTAGCAAGGCTTTTGACATCATGTGTCCCACAGCATCCTTGTATCCAAGCTGTGTTGTTAGAATCTAGGTAGATGAATTACTAAATGATGAAAATCTGTTTGGATGATCAGGGTTAGAGGACAGTGGTAGGCTTTGGGGGACCTAATAGCAGCCTTACAATACCTAAGATGAGGTTGCCAAACAGATGGACCCAGGCAGATTACTGAGGTATGTAGCAGAAGAACAGGAGATGATAGTCATAAACAAACAGGAGATGTTCTGACTGGGATAAAAGGAAAAAAATTCAATGTGAAGATAATTAAGTATTAGAACAGGCTGCTCAGAGAAGCTATGGAATCTCCATCCTTGGAGAACTGGAAAAAAGACATAAGCAGCTTGTCTGAATGGTGCTTTGAGCAGGCAGTTTAGATGACCTCCTAAAATCCCCTATAACCTGAAGGATTCAATGAGTAAATAAAAATCTCCTTGTTCCTGCACTCATTCGTATCTATACTCACACAGAGGACACTCAAGAGTTAATTCATCTAATTGCAATAAAAACCCTAAAATATTTATAGAAAGCATTGCAATTGTCTCAAATAATCCAAATCCTACAGAGACAAAGAGAAGTAAGTATAAATATAAATTTAGAAAACAATACTTACTGTTACTTGTTGGCTCAGGAAACCCAACATTCTGGCCGTTCCAACTCTTGTTTTCTCCAAGCTGAAACAGGTAGAAAAAGACGAATAAGTAAAAGGCAAATTACTCCTTAAAGAGAACATTCATGTTTATAAATTTAGTTGAAAGATTCTAGAAAGGATGATTTGGGATTGCCACATCTGCTCACAAAACTTTGATAACAGATCTTAATTTTTGTCTAGAATAGGTTATTTGAGCAATGTACCCTTCATGAATAAACATTAACAACTATTGCCTAACACTGAAATATAAATGTTTCCCCAAGGATTAGGCTCAACTCAGTATGTTACCAAATCAGACTTAAAATCAAATGTTTTAAGCAGCTCTCAACTGAAAACATACACAGACAACAGAGAAATTACGTTCTAAAACAAGAAGATCCTAATATCTGCCTAAGAAAGAATGCATAAACACTACAAAGTACTTTGGGTGTAATTTAAAAATATTTACTTGCTAGGAATCCATTTAGTTACTGAAGTGGAAGCAAACAAAGATTGCAATTTTCCATTATTTTAATATATAGACTTTTTTGAGGAAACTAACTGTCTTCAAATTAATTTTATTAACACCGGGTATTACTCTGACACAGAAAAGGGGAGCAATTAACACAGAAGTTCAAAATAAAGTCTACACAGTAAATAAGATGGCAGTGTTCTAGATTTACGTGTAAATGTGGATAAACGTGTCCAAGCTCCCTCATGAACTAGGAGCTATTGACAACCAGCTTGATAAATGTGAAACAAATAATCCTTTTCAGATTTCACTGGGATTTTGTATGCAGACAGAAAACCTCACAGTAAAGCAGTCTATATGCCATGACAAAGTTGTAATCATTTGCTCTGGAAGACAGGGTTGATTGGAAAGCGGAAGAGACGTGAAGGAGGATCAGCCAGCTGAAATCTGCCTCTGCGTCTCAGAGGTTGCATTAAGGCTGTTTAGATTCCTAACTTGTTTTAATGCAGACTATTAGATGATATGTTTTCCTCGGGAAAGAGGAGGGAAGAGCACACTATGCAAAGCAGCTATTCCAATGATTGTTTCCCTGCCTTTCCTCATTATGTACATCCCAATGTGCTTACAGCCTAGGCAACATGCAATAAAAATGGGAGATATTTAGTGGAAAGGGGGGATAGGTATTAGAGCTGGCTCTCAAACTGGTCACCCACCTCCATGCACTTTAATATCACATAACTCCTTTTACTTGTACTATGCAGCAGGCAATATATATATTGGAAAACATGGAAGATGACAGTTCTTCAAATGAATAAGCAATATGAAGTCTATAAATATGTTTGTATTTACTGCTGTCTCTTACAACAGCATAGTTTTGTCATGAATCCATACTGTGCATCCATAACATGATCTGAAAATCAGCACGAGCATGGTGCTACAATATAAGAACATTTCCAACTCTCCTCATTCCTCTCTTTTTACTGTTTATTAACTTGATCATGATGGGGAATTTAGCAAGAATTCATCTACCAGTAAGTTATCCTTAGTGCTGCTATTTCACATGAATGCAATCTACTCTGGTTTTCTTCTCTCTAAGAGAATAAAAGTGACAAGAAGAAACGAAAAGATGGAAACATGAAAAAATGAAGACATTACAACTCTCCATTCTGACCCATAGAGCTAAAATTCTGATAGCTGCAAAAAGGCTCCCAGGGCACTTTCAAATTGTTCTCCTCAGAGCTCTGCACAACCATTACAGATTCCTTCCAGGAACTGGATTACCTCAGGAAAGAGCAGAGCCTTTACTTTTTTTACATTACCTCGATTACCTGTTTACCTGTGCTGCCATCAGCACCATGTATGGTTCTTGTAATGCTCTTAGGTCTTCATTAAAACAATGAATACAGTCACATTTTATGCACCGGGGTTAAGGAAAAAACACTGAATTTGATTTTGCTTTTTTTTTTTAAGGAAGGAAGAAGGGGATGAAAGGACTCGGGGAAGTGGGGCAGGGGAAAGAGAAGTTTCCTTTTTTAAAAGCATCAGAAACAACACAAGTGAAAATTGTCCATTTAGATCCCAACCTGATACATCAGCTAATCTACACTGGGCCCCATTTTGGATTCAAAAAGAGAAACAAGTATCTTCTAATGGTAAATCTTTATTGTGCAATTTATATGGAAGGAATTTTGCAATGCTCAAATTGGTAGAGATCTAAGGGCTATTTTCCCTCTTTTCCAGCACAGTTTAGTTTGAGAATTAAAATGCTTTCATCTACACAAACTAACTTGTGTATCTGCTTTAAATATGTTCAGTCTGTTATATACAGAAGATAAAGCCAGATGTTCTAGATATTTTATGTCCTTAACCCCAACAAAGCTATAAAAATTTGTCCTATGATCTTGAATACTCCCAGTACATAAAATTTGAGTAGTTCACATTTTTTTGGATACAGTATTATGTTTGCTCATTGTGTTCAGAATAATATTGGGCCATTGTATGCTATTCTATCAATTCTAAGATATCAACGTCTGCAAGTATGTAATTAAACCTGTTTTTTTTAAAGAGAATGCACTTGTAAGCAATAGTTTAATAAACATAGGGAAACGAAGCAGCAGCACCCCTTTTTAGCCACTTGATTTTTTTTAAGGATTTCAATGTAACCACAAGTTTCCACTGTGTAGAGCTCTCCAAAGCAACTATGTTGTGGGCTGAATTTTTTCAGGCTTTATCTCTGAAAATTACTGAGTAAAAATAGTTTAGCCAATTTGAAATCCAAGAATGAAAACCTATGTTTTCCTATTAGAGAAAAAAGTTGACTTTTCTGTTTTGCTTTGTTTTTCAAAAAGCTCTTTGGCCAAATTGGCAGTGAAGAAAAAGCTGAAACTGGTAGCAAGTATCTTCTACAGCAGAAAACTGTCAGCATTCTGGTGAAAATGAATTATCATTTGACTCTGTTATAAGCTTTTTTAAAAATTACTATGACTTCACAGTATGTTCTCACTAAGAACACCATCTAGCCTTCAAGTACCCTGTTTAGAGTATTGCACACTTGTACACGACTAAGATACATAGTGAAGAACGTAGTCACGGTGAGTGTGAATAGCATACATGGAGCTGCTCCTCTCAAAGGAGAGGGAAACAGAAGGAGGTGGAGCCAAGTAACCAGTATGGCATTTATTTTTTCCTGGCTAGGAGTATAGAAAATACAGAACACAGTATCTTCCTTTTTTTTTTTTTTTTTTTTTTTTTTTTTTAAAGAAAGGGTGTTTCAGAGGAAATATAGATATATATTATATTCAGATTTATCACACGGTCCCCAGAAAAGCACAGCAGAACATTCTGTTGACCAGAGCTAGCTGGTGCAGCCACAGCAAACATTTAAGCCATGATCAAAATACATACATGCAGTGACTCTGCCTAAGACAGAAGCTGTTCAAAGTCCACACCTCAGCCAAATACCTTACTAAGTATCTTTTCAGGATACAAAAGGCAAAACCTTAACACCCAATTTTGGTTGCAAAACTTTCCATCAATAAACTCAAGACAGAAGAGGAGTGCTAAGCTCCACATCACTAACATGGAAATACATACCTGCAACACATACAAATTTAAAATGTAATTCCTTCCCCACAAAAAAAAAAAAAAAAAAAAAAAAAAAAAAAAAAACATTTTCTTTCTCAGTCATCAAACCTGAAAAGGCCATTATTTTTCTGGAATGCCTTTAGTGCAAATGCAACAGGAAGACAAACATTGACTACTATGACTACTTCATGTATGAAAACTAATAACAACATTCCTCTCAGTTCTTTCATGGATGCCAAAATGGAATAAAAGCACGAGGCATGTTCATCCTGATTTATAAGTAGAAATAGGCACACACATCACATGTACACTTTGGCATACACACTATCGTCTGGAAATACATTTCTGTTCTTACTCTTACAAGAGGAGAGGCTGCACTTCCTACTAACTGTAGCTGTAGAGCTGTTGCTAAATGAAGGCTGATCTCTGACAAGCAACCTCCTAAAACAGGGGGTGCCACATGTTTAAGCTTCTGTTCTTACTACGTGATTAGCTGATAGAGCTGAAGAATTTTTGACAAGGGTAAAATGTGGGTATCATAACAAATGGTTCTCACCTTTTCTGGCTGGTCTTGAAGAGGAGTAGAGGCTTTGTAACCCAGCTGTAGCAACATTGCTTCTGCTGCATTTCTTTTAGCTATTTTCTTGTTTGGGCCTGTTCCAGTAGTAATCTCATTGCCTACTTTTACCTTTAAAAGAAAACATTGATCATAATCACAATAAATGCAAGACTCCTTAATAGCACCATGTAATAATCTTGCTGACCTACCAACAACTGTCAGCTCTTTTGATGAAGATGCAATCTTGGAAAAGTAAGAATAGAGCAGAAGGGGACTACAATGCCGCTTCATACAGAGGACCTTCTTTAGATTTTTCAGAAGGTCCCCAAACTTGTACCAAAGAGGTACATTTTCCTGTATCTCAGTACACACACAGCTGTGTCTCTCTACCACCAGCCTCTGTGTGATCCCCACTCTCCCTGCTGACCATCTTCCCCACTCTTGCTCCCCGCTCTTTCTTAATGCAGGAAGTGCTACAGGATCTGGACTTCCTTGTCCTTGTAGGAGTGTTGTCTGCAGCAGCTCCCCAGCATCATCAGGACAGTATCCAGAACAACAGAGACACAAACAATGACTTGGAGATTTAAATGAGAGTGGTTTCTAAAGCAAGATGAAAACCATGTTCGCATTCCTCCCCTGTTGTCACACTGCAAGGAACATGGGGGCTGGGGCTGCTTTCTTTTCTGCACTTACACCTGACAAGCTTTTCTCAAAATAGTCTTTGGAAAGAAGACTCCTTGTTGTACCTGTGGTCTGTACTGGACAAAGGGTTTCTGACAAACAAGATGCCTTTCATAAAACTAGGAGAAACTAAAACCTCAAAATGAAGACAAATTATAGACAATGGATATCCACAAAGAGTGGGGCTCTCACTTATTCCTTGGGTTTGGTACCATTCTTGAACTCCTGAAGCTGTATGTGTCTGGCTTGTGATATTAGCACTGTCATTGCTATTCACTTATGCAATATTCATAGCTCTTTGACAGCTTATTTCATTCTGTCCATTAAGCCATTTTATTTGCCAAATTTTCTCTTAAAATAGCATATGGTTTCAAAAGTGTGTTAAAAAAGGAAACCAAAATAAAATAAAAATAATAAAGTAGCCAAAGTGATCTGAATAAAAGAAACCTTAGAGGTCAAAGACCTGAAACCGTCTGGAAGGAGCTTTAAAACAATTGTAAAACCAGGCATATAATTGTTAAATAAATACTAAATGCTATTTAGTAATTTATGTTATTCAATAATTATTCACTTTCCTCAAATTATCATGTATATGTTTTCCTAAAAGTTTTACTTTTTCTTTACTGAAATACCTACTAATTGTACATACAAAGAAGAGGTTGTAAATAAATAATGGTCATTAATATCCCTTCAAAGTACTTATATAATTAAACAAAAAGATTCAGCTACCCAAGACAGAAATATTAATAATATTGAAATAAAAAAACTTATCTTCTATGCAGTTCCACAATCACAATTAGAAAACAGCCAATCTGCTACAAGTTTATATGCAATAAAATTGAGGGACTTTAATGGGACAAGACAAAATGATAATTTATAACATAGCTCACAATAAATCAATGTTCTGCTATTTCTCAGACCTGTAAAACTGGTTTAGCTATTATTATAACCTCTATCAAGGATTAAAGGTCTGAGTACAAAGAGAGCGAGCTTTCTGAAATTAACTTTGGGAACAGAACACCAACTAATGTCATCAGAGGTTTTCTTCTGTTTATCTAGTGGTCAGGACAAGTAATTGGATCCATTTCATCACATCTAAACTTGCTCTTTGTGTGACAGATAAAAATGAACATATTATCTCTGGATATTTTACTTCCACATTCAATTAAATTAAATGAAAACATTGTTTAAGTAGTTTATACAAAGGCTTTTTATTCTGATAAGGTTTTTTGCATGTCATAATGAATCCACTGAGACTTCTTGAAGGCAGGAGAAACAGCAGTATGATTTTAGTATGAAAATACCACAAAAGGCTAAAAATGGGGCTATGGTGTTTAAAAATATACATAATAAAGCAACTGATTTATGGAATTTCTTTGACTCTTTTTTTCGCAAGTCTTCTTGGACAAGGGAATCTTCTACATATTCACTGCTTTTAAGTTTTGGGTTTTTTTTTAATTCAAACCAAAGGTTTTGCCATTATTGAGACCTCTCCAGTGGAAAACCAAATTCTCAGCCCATCTTTCTAATACTGGACTGCGTTACACAGTCACAACCTCACACAACCATCTCTAACTGTGGACACTCCCACAGCAAGGGAAAAGGGATGGTCTGTGATAGGATCACTCTTTTTCAAATACTTTCACATAACATAAAAAGTTGGAAATCCAAATTTATACTCATAAATCAGATTCTGCAACAAAAGGAACCCAGTATCTTCTTTTGCTTCAGAGAGAAAAATAATAAATTATCAAGAAAGACCACTGAGGTCCAAGGAAATGAAGATTGCTAGCCTATCTTGATAGACTGGAAGGAGGGACTTAAAGATTTAAGTGAAAACATAACTAATTTTCTGGAGAAGGAGGTGCTGTAACATCATAAATTCTGCTTGTGATCAGAAGTGACATTTTGGTGTGGTTTGTAGACAAGTCAAAATATGTTCAGGTATGCTATTCTGAATTCCAGCACAAAATTTGTGTGCTGGAAAAACACATTTGTGTTCCAGCACAAAATTACCCCTGAGTGAAAACACAAGACAAAAGAATTCTTTCCTGTTCCTAATCGTTCTTAACCTGCTGTTGTGCTATCTAACAAAATATCACCATTATATCAAATCTTTGTGATTGTTCTTAATTTAAAAATTGAAGAAATATTAATGATCTACTGCTTCTATATTAGGTCCAGAGCCTTTAACTGAACAGGCTAAAACACGCAGTGGAAGGCTTTTTTTTGTGGTATTTCAGATATGAATAAAGCCACAAAGAAACTGAAAATCTGAAAGGAGTTCTTGCAAGATTTACAACACTATTTTTTTAAACCAAAATGCTTGGTAATATGGAGATATTCATACCCATATTTCAGAATATGGGTATTGTTTGTATTGCAATCCTCTGATCAACAATAGCATTAATGTGTTTTTTTTTTTTCAAGAAGACAAGTAAAAGTAAATAAATCATGAACCAACAGTAGCATCAGGGATAAAGACAGAAACCATCAGATGATATAAAAATAAGAAAAGTATAAAAAATGCAAAACTACTACAAGAAAAGCATCTGGAAAGCACATAACCTAATTGCCATTTGTTTCACCAAGAGAAAGAAGAAAGTTCAAACTGGCTTTCTGATACTGTATTTCATACTTTTCTTGTATAACTGACCGTAAAGCAAAGAGCTAAACACAGAGGGTTCCGTTTCATATTAAGTCACCATTTTGCTTGAGTTTGAACAACACATTATCTCTAATGTCACAGCAGATGATACCTGCATAACAAACTCTCGACGGCGAGGCATTCCTCTCTCTGAAAGAAGAACATACTCTGGCTCCTTCTCCTTTTTGGCTTGTTGGATCTGAGCCAGACGACTGATGGGATTCATTCCTTGACCATATTCTGGTCCAGTCTAAAACAGGTTTAGAAGAACGAACAATTATTTCAGTATATAACCATACAACTATTATGCTGCTTCAATAAATCATTTACTAGGGTTACCTCTTCTTTAATACTTCCTTTGAGAGAATAAGAAGTAAATTTCTTCCCATCTTCTGGTCGTGAGACAGAAGATAAGAATGCTCAAGCTCAAAACTGTGTCAAATAATATGCACCTATTGTCTGCCACTGTTGCAGGTAGTGTGCGTACCTATCATCTGTAAGCTACTAATACCCTCATCTATCTATGGAGGTCCTATGGGGATGGATGAAAATTAGCAGATTCATCAATCAATTATATCTCATAGCCCTGTTTCTATGACCCTTCCCCCTAACCCCTTAAAATAGGTTGCTACAATGCTGGAACATGCAGTACGCTAAGAAGAAGTGGGATTCACAGGAGGACAAAACAGATTTGCCATATAACAAGGAAGCTGCCTCTTTCAGCATGCTCAGCACTCCTGCCTTCCATCCCACAATGCAACTAAAGGTGTGGAAAGTTTACTCTGTTTGCGTGTCATAGGAATTCACTCTCAAAATACTTTTATGTAGTGAAGCTAGAAAAGACAGAGAGGAGTATCTCCAATAGCTAGAAGTGTTGCAAATTGTGAGCCACCCACAAAGTATTTCAAATTCTTAACAGACAATAATCCCCACAATAACATGTCAAAATGTATGGTTGGGGGTGGAATTGATCTGATGGGGGAAAAACAAAAGGACTGAGAGACTGGTCTGTCTAAGATTACATAGACAGGTGAAAACCTACAGTCCTTACAAACTATCTAGTTCTGAAATCATTTTAATATGTTACTACTCACACGGCAAATGCTCTGTCAAAGCAAATAGCTATGAAAATATTTGTTTGTAGATCTTAAGGAGAAGAAATTAAGACTCAAAAATATTTATCTGAAGTCATATTTAACTGATTTATATACCATAACACAAAGAATGAACTTGCAAATGTAAATGGCATTTGAATGTAGAATTGGTTTTATGCTATTGAGATATTTCCTTTTCATGAAGCCATTTCCAGGATAAGAGAAGGTCAGCAATCATGCTTGTTTGAGCTTCTCAATTAAGAACAAACAAGTGGTCCAGAACCTAAAGAGATGATCAGCAACTGAAGGCAAAGACCTGAGAGGGATATTATATTAAGAAAGCTGTGCAGCAGATCCTTCATAGTGTAACTGCTGAAGCTGTTAGAGAAGATGTAGGTGAAAGAATTAAGGCAATGTCATGCACAAGGGCAGCTGTGTGGGCAAGGAGCCAGGCAGAGACAAAATGCAGAGCAGGCTAAATAAAGTGCAGGCCTTAAGCTATAGCCTCATAAATATATATACAAATAAAAATAAGTTATTGTTGTCACTTTTTTTGATGCTCAAAACATGTGCAGGTTAAATTAAAAGAAATGGGCACACTGAAAGCATTTCAGAAGTTTGGATATTCAAAAAATAAAACCCCTCCATATATCCAGGTTTTTTTATTAACATCTCTTTCTAACATGGCCAACTTTGGATAATTCAATTTAAGATTGTAATGTAAATGGTATATGGTAATATAAGAGGTTTTTACATTATTATACCCTTAGCATCTTTCTTGAGAAAAACTTTCCAAAATGAGACAGCCAGAGCCAATAGCCTTTTCAGATCTTGCAGCTTTAAAGCTGTATTAAAGCTGATGGTTTTCCATTAAAGAATCTTTTATGCTCATTTTTTCCTAGAAGTTTTTGAGAATTAGATCCCCAGAATTTCAGTAGGAGCTGGGTATCTAATAAACCTAGGGGTTTTTTTAATTTTTTTTTAAAAATCACTCATGCTGTTTTGAAGGCAAATGAAAAGAGGAAGATGATGAAGTCCTTTGCACATTTTCCAAACCCAGTTTTGTGCTCTCCAAAGTATTTGCTTATTTTAGACGGCTTTTCTGTTGGCTGCTCCTACAGAACTCTGCACTCAGTGTACTGAGCATACAGATTTCTAATGGTCATACTTTTAGTAAATTGAGTAATGATTTACTTATTTTTACAATCTATCAATGTAACACTTGATGAGGATTGAGTTCAAGCCATACTGGTATAATGCTGTCCAGCCTCACATAATGCAAGCTGTGGACATAACATAATTCAGAAAAACGGAAGGTTGGGGTTTTTTTTAAACTAACAAGAGGCAAATACAGAAAAAGAGATGAAATTTAGGTGCTAAAACTATGTTCTGAAGCACAGGATTTGGACATGAAGGTTTCCTTTTTTTTCCTGCAATTCTAATCTCAAGGTTCCTGATCCGCATCTTATGGGGCAAAAGTGACTCTGTAACACCAGAGAGAAAGTGAGCAACTCTCCACCGTTATTTACACCAGCCTAAAATGAGTATGAAAGGCTATTAATGTGTCCTTACGTATACCTAAATGACTATCCAACATGGCAGACAATAGAAAATCATGTACAAAGAGTTTAACTACTTTCTCAGAAAATAATACTTCCTAAATTAAAATGAAATGTAGCAGATTTCGGCCACTGCACTGCACCGCGCTGAACAGATGACAAGTTAATCTGATTAGTTGTTCGGTGCTGAGACTAGGTAGTCATGCTTCATAAATATATGGACACTATGTTGCTGCTTTTGTTAGATCATTTGGTAGACTAGTTACTTCAGATGACCCTTTACTTTTGCATGAATTTAGGATGACCAGACAAACCAGGGCTAGTCATCATAGACTGACTGAATTGTAGAAGTAGCAATAAATCTACTGCCACCAAGAATAAAAGCACCATTTAAGAAGCTTAAGCTCACAAGAATCCAGAGCCTCTAAAGGAAGCCTCATCAGTGCAGCAAGCAGCACATTAATATCCTCTGAGACAGGGCATGCTTTAATGGAGGGATGGTTCAAAGTCCACAAGTCCTCCATGGGCTGGTCTCCAGTCAATTTTCTGTCTGTATTCAAGAGCTAAAGAGTATTGTCAAACATAGGTACATGAAAGAAAAACAGTATTGTCCTTTGATGGTTGACAAGTGACACACTAGGCTGAGATGTCAACATACTCTTGGCCTTCTTTCAAATCTTTCAAATGTCAAAACAAATTGAAGCTGAAGTCACAAAACTCCTGAATCTAGCTCCATGAGGGGATGAAGATGGACTGTGCACCATTTCCCCATATATCTACTATTTCATATATTTCTCTCCCTCTTCAACTGGTGACAGGGGAAAGACCAGGAAGAGAACCACCATATATGCTAGTAGGGCCTCCCAGAGGAGATGATGCTAAAAATTCACATGGCTGTAACATAGCTGCTTGGAGGTTTTGATCCCCCACTAGACTTAAACCAAATCCCTAAAGACTTCAGTGATGTGAGCTTGGTTCTTAAGCCGAGCACCTTACAAGCCATTATGTTTGAGAATTTCATAGCATTCTCAGAATTTAAAAAAGTACAGGCATATTAGCATAGGCAAACAAGAGTATCAACAGAAAATGACAAATAACCCTTTACGGATTTAAAATCTCAGTAACTTACTTTCTGAGCAAACATTCTTAATTCTGTCAAAGGCAGGCACATACCTTCAATATTGTTTTTGGACGTTTTTTAAAGTAAAGTTTTGGCTTTTCAATCACAGGAAGAGGAGGAAGTTTCTTAAGTTCTTGTAGGACAGCCATTGCAGCACGTTTCTTTGAGAGCTTCTTACTGTTGCCTTCTCCTTCTGCAGTGAATTCTCCTACTGTAACTCGTGTAACAAAGCTCTTCATGTGAGGAGGTCCACTTTCTTTAATCACCTTTTAAGCAAAATTAACAGTGAGTTAAATCACCCTACAAGAATATAAGTTAATGTTTGTATCTCTGCAATGTACTTACTACTAATGCAGTTTTCCTGCTAACTGAAGGCATTAGATGGGCTTTCATAAAATCTGGACAAGTATTAATGACAGTACCAGGTTTGAGGACAGAAATTAAAGCTAATTAGATAAAGCAAATCTAACCATCATATTCAGTGTTTCACAGAAAATACAGTAGACCTATGTTTTCAAAAAGATTTATACAACAACACAATACAAAACAATAATGCATATTTAAACCAAGGCTGCTGTTTTTTTCCTTGTGAGGTGCTTCACATACTAAAGAAATTCAATTCAATAAAGGTCCACCAGGCTTTGGCTATTTCTTTCCATAAAACATATTCAAAACTATATATGGCATCACTTCAACCCATTCGTCATTTTCTCCTATTATTATTAAAACTTAGGATGTTCATACATGGTCCCAAACTTCAGTCTTAAAGGTCCATATTTTTACGCTGTCCTAGCTGCAGGCAGCATGCCTGCTCTCAACATTTACCTTGCCAGAGTATACAACTCAGAGCGATATCCCGTACATTTGAAAGGCTGCCACAGTCTTGCCTCTACGACTCTCAGCTGTCCCTCCCAACAATACCGAAAGGAATTGTCACAAGAGCCACCATAACTCACACAAAAGCCAATCAGTTCTGAAAAGTTTCATTTCTTTAACCCCTTCCAAACATATTCAGGATGACAATGAGAAAACCCATTCAAAGTACTTCTCCACTATTAAAAGTTACAATAATATGGAAAAATATGAAGTTCTGAAGACTGTACCTTCCTTTAGCTCTTTTTCTGTCTTCATTTTTCCACACACACATCTCCTTTCAGGAGGCTATACTGTTGGGATGCATTCACCAACAATTCACAGTACTGCAAGTGCTAAGATAGCCATCTCTTCATGTATGCACCATTTACTGGTCTGAATAATGTCTATGAGGAATTAAGAGACCTCGTCTGGGAAAAGGTTCAGTTATTTTGTTTGATGGGTGGGAACAGCTACCTAATCTAATCTTAGTTACACATGTAATGTGTATAAGCAGATATTAGAGCATCTGACAGGCACCTCTTTGTATTATCTTCAAAATCAATACAAATACATATTTAGTTTCAGTAGGTGCAATTACATCAAACCATTTGTTGAAGAAGTATAATTCCTGAGTGCAAGGGAACTGAGGTAAAGGTGCTAGGGACTTCTTGGTGTAATAACTATATTTTTAATGGGCTGAAACCTTCAACCTTAATATTATTACAACATGTTTTGTATTAAAGTTCTTTTTATCAAGGTCATGTCCCTTGCATTATTTAGTTTCGCTGTTACACTGTAATGAGGTCTCCTTAGGCTTGTATTTCTTTTTTAAGCTCTCTTTTGTGGTAACTTCACCCAGCAAATACAATTATCACAGCATATATCAATAAAAAGACAACTTTGTCCACATTTTCCCAGAATAAGACAACATCTGTGCCAGCTTGGGATTTTTCTGTTGTAGTCCAGGAGTGTTCCCACTCGAAGATTCCAGGTAATAATTTCTGAAGTGTTTTCAAGATTGCCTCACTTGAAAATTGCCCACTGGTGCTTCACCATGTGAGAAGGCAGCAGTGCTTTCAAGGCACTGACCCACGCTGAGCCAAGGGAAGCTGCACTGCCTGCACCAGAGCTGGGATGAGCCCAGCACTGGGATCTCCTGCTCTCAGGGCTTTCTATCAGTGCTGAACACCTTCATCGCACTGCAGTGTTTCCCACTCTGTTTTAAAGGAGTATCTTAATCCAAGATTAAGATTACGTTGCTATCCAAGTATTGCAACATGTTGGCTGTAAAACATGGCTAAATTAACCTTACTAAGGTCCTTAATCTTTATATGGTCTTACTAATACCATTATATAGGTGTTTCTACTTACATGCAATATAATGTATTAATAAAATATACAAGAATGTCTATACTGACCAGATGAAAAAGGACAAAATAACTTGCTTAAGGAATATAACTGCTGAGTTCCTAAAATATTAGTTTTATATAAGTTTTCTCATATATATATAAATGCACACAAATATAAATATATGAAAAAGAGTGTTAATATAAAACCAGATTATATTTTCATATACGTGAAAATATATTTCTTAATAAAAGCCTAATGTATTCCGGTGTGTTTTTCATCTTTTAAACTTTTAAGTATGTAACACAAGGTAAATAATTGCCTGGAAAACATTCAAAACTGTTTCTTTGTTAGTGTGCAAGTGAAAAAAAGTCTGTGTTGTCAATGGAATGAACCCCATAGGATTCAGATGGGATCTGAATCAAGCTAAACATCCAAATTTGGTAATTTAGCAAAAAAAATATTTACCTAACAACATTTTTGGTTAACCCCAGATTTTAGATCTTTTTACTCCACATGATTTCAAACAGTTGTGCTATAAGCCTAGGGACAGAAAACACTAAAAAGAAATTCAGCCTTTGCTATCCAATAACACTATATGCATTAGTACATTAAACTATTTCCTCAGTTGAAAGATACAACCCGTGGACCAAATCATGGCTAATTTAAAGCTGAGAATTTGATTAAGGGTGACAGTTCAATACACTTTTCTTTTTCTGTTCCACTGATTTAAAGAATAACTCCAGCAAGAGAAAACACATGGGGCCAAAACACATCTAAGGTCAAGTTACATCTAGAGTGAATTTGGCTCAACTTAATGAATCATGCTGACAAATGAAAAACAGCAGTACGATTACAACAAAAGAGCAACACTGCTTCAATTATTAATGAGACTCCAGGTAGAAAATTCAAAAGATTATGACAAGATTAAATGGACATTAAAAAAAAATAACAGAGGAGACAAAAAGCAAGTCAACAAAAACATGTCACCTACATCTATGATTATTTAGAAACTTTAAAATACCAATATATTTCCATGTGCTTGTGCAGGCAGACATACCACCTTTTCCCAGTTTAAAAAAAAAAAAGAAGTCTGGATGTTTTATTAAAACTGGAGTGAGGAAGGGTGACCATCATGCAAAACCCAAGCGAGAGTTACTCAATATGTCAATCATCCAATCTGAAAGCCTTAATCCCCAGGAGAGCAGGAGCCAGACGGGTGTGAAACTTCCCACTGAGAACTTGCTCAGTCTCCCAGAGTCAGCAATTTGGTCTGTTCCTGGTTCACAATACAGAATCTCTGCCTCACTGTGATAAGACTGGGACACAGGAAACTGCAACTCTTTTTCCTCAGCAGAACACTGGAAGGGGATGGAGGGGAAGAAAATTTGCTGGTTCAGGCACTCTATCCCCTCACTCCTGATACTGAGAATGAAAAAAAATCTATCATTGTATTTGCTATTCTAAAGAAAGGACCACCAATCCAAAGAAAAATATTGAAAATAAAATGACAATCTGAAACACCCCAACATGTTCTAATACCTGAACCTGTTGACCTCACTTACGCCTTCTAGGCTCACCCAAATCCTTATTGACAAGTCAGAAATAAAAAAAACATACATGTTGCAAGAGAACCAAAAAAAAGCAAGATTTTAGCCTACTGTCAAGGAGGGAATAAGAAGCAAAATGACCATTTTACAGCTATTCTAACAATCCCTACAGCAATCAGTTTTGTATCCCTCCTTAAAAATTGTTCATTGAGGGTCCCACAAATGCCTTAGCGGAGTTGCACTTTGACTTAAGAGTTTATGAATAAAGGCTAGCAAAGGATGGACCAATGAGAAGTATGGACCAAAGCTTGTTCTTTGTTAGAATTGAATACCTTTCTTTTAGTTAACAATTTAATAGATAGAAATTGCTTAAAACTCATCCTAAAGTTCCTAGGTAATTAAAACTAGCCATATTACATGAAACAGGATAGACAGAAGAAACCCACAGGGTTCTGCATGCTCTCCCTATTTTCCACCCCTTGTGCAATTCTGAGGACATGTTTACATAGAACTTTACATATCTTTATCACCATTACTTAGCTGCATAACACAGCACTGTTGGAACACTGGCTAAAGCTTCATCAGATGAAGAAAAGGCAGATCATTTTATAGCTATTGCACAAAAAAAAAAAAAAGCTAGAGAAAGCTTTGATGCCTGCCTGGAATAACACAAAACCATTTGTAAATAAAATCCTATTAGAAACATCAGATCCTAGGGATTACCCATAATTGCTTAGCAGTTTTATTGAAATATAAGCCATTACCAAGTTCAATCAAAACCCCATTTAAGAATGTCACCTATACTTAGAGTTAAAGGCAGGAAATAACACAAAACCTGTCAGGAGAGCAAGAAACTGTCTTTTTTCGATGTTGTTAACATTCTTTGGCAAGTGACACATTACAGTTTTCCTGTACTAAGTATCTCTGCCTTCATTCTCTCCTTACCAAATGTTCTCCCTTAAATAAGCTGAAACACAAGAATGAAGTTAAGATGACATTCAAAGCACTATCCCTCTTTTCCTCCCAACCTCCAAGCTATTCTGTGACCCGTGACCATTCATCACCTTGTATTTTAGTGTATTGATCTGTATGGAACTATTCCAAATATTTTTAAATACTTAAGGTAAAAAAAAATGTGTGAAAACCGAAATGTTAATTATCAGCTTCCTTTTTGAAACACAGGCATGTGTTTCCATTATGTCTGATCTTACGTAAGAGTTATGTTCTTTCCATGCAGTTGCAAATTGATACACCAACACCCCCAGAAACCCCAATTTTGTCCTTCAGATTTTACATTCTCTTAACTTTCTAATTAGTCCATATTACATAGACCAGATATATATATGAAGCACACACGCATTTGTTATACTGAGCAATTCCTTAGTCAAAACCAATATTCTTTGTCTTTGGCTCTCTTACCTACCTTCTGAGAGATTCCGCAGATTTCTAAGAAGGTCCAAATAGCTCATGTGACAGTGGCCAATTCATGGATATGGGCCAAACATGTCAGTAAACTGCAAACAGCATACTGGTAAGGCATGCCACAGCATAGTTTACTTTTTTGGCATGCAAATATGTGCCTATACTTCAAAAGGAAAAAGCACTGGAGAAAATAACCATCACCAGTATAGGCACTACTCACATTCTTCATATATACTCAGTTTAAATGTAAAACAACAAGCAGAAAAATAAAACTTTAAAGAGCCACTTACATTAGTATTTTCTGCATTAAAAAAAAAAAAAAAGGAAAAAACACCCTGCAGCTTGAAAGTCTGGTGGTTCCTACCACAACAACGTTAGATTTTTACAACCAGTTTGTGTAAGAACTTTCTCATCGGAAAAATTTTCCTGTTACTATCAGTCATTCTCCCGTAGTTATTTCATTGATAGCATTGGAGCTATTCCAAATATTCTGTATTACTTAAGGTAAACAAAGGTGTCAGAAGCAGGTTCATAGATAAAATCATATGAAATGAGAAAAAAAAACCATGAAGGCTTAAGTAGAGATAGATAAGGAGTCAAACAGTGTGGCAGATAAAGATACTCATGACTTTCTGAAAAGAACACATCGGATGCAAAGTGTCTCAATGGGAACTTCTGTAGTGTACAAATGCCTACAGTTAAAACAAAGACTTTGGCTGACTGTTTTGAAGATTATTTCAAATCAGATTGAGTGTGGCTACCGATTCTAATCCCACAGCACTATACAGAAGATGCTTGACCTGTCTTTCCACCATCCACTTGTTTGCAACCAAGTATTAGGTCTCTAATACTTCCGAAAGATCATTTAAGAGTAAAAACTCAGTGTCTTAGACTCTGATACACTACCAATTTTTTTATTTATAATTTGCACAAATTTAAATGTCATATTCATAATGCATTAATACTATTAACTGTGTTGAGTTTTAGTGGCACTTTTTTTTAATACTTTCTTAGCAAACAGATAAATATGTAACACGTACCTCAAAACTGACAGGTATATTGCGCTTCAAAGCAATTTCAAACACTACACTGATTTCAGACTTGTTTGCATCTTTATCTTCTTCTGATTCTTTTCCTGTTTCTCCATTCTGAAAATGAAGAATACGTAATCATATTACAATTTTTAGAAGATAAAAAATATAATATACTTCTCCCCTGATTTCTCAAAGACTTTTGAGTTCTCCTGTCATGCTGTAAATCAGCGTTTGTACATCCATCTCAGCACCCCATTATCAAACACCCGCTGACCGTGAAGCCATATAGAATGCAATTATGCTTCATAATAAAGGAACACATACACATGAATTTATAAATTAAGGATAGATGGCAAAATAACTTCTACGGATTTTAGTCTTATTAATGACATGGGTAATAATCATGTGAATACACACTTCTTGTGTCGAACATGAGGATCAAACAGATCCTTTGACCTGTTTCCCAGTCTCTCTGTGGGCACCCCTTCCAAGCAAGCAAGAAGTCTTCGGTACTTCTTGGAAAGTACAGAAGACTGTACTTCTCTCAGAAGAAATTCAGTGAATCACTCCCACACTTTGACTGGGTCACCAGGTTACAGGTGTCCTCAGCAGGTCCAGCTGGTTAATGGCCCCTCCATCGACTTCCCTCTGGGAGTTATGACCAGTGTGAAAAGGTAGTGACAGAGAACAGCTTGCTCAACACAGAACGTTATTTATTTATCCATAGGAACATAACAAACAGAGAGGCTAAGAGATAAAACAACAAAAGGCACATGCAAACATTATCCTGCCTAAAATTCAGCTTTGCTTTGCACTTTAGGTAAGTCTTATTTTTCTCAGACAGCCACCAGCATGGGGATCAGTCAAGGAGTTACTGCCTTCTGCAACCGCTACTTTTTGGTGTTTGTCCCCCAGGCCATATCTTCCTTAGTTCTCAGAGGTTTCACTTTCAGCTACTTTCAAACTGCAAAGCCCTGAATGTTTCAAACTGGGGTCTCTCAACAACTATGTAACCTTGGCCAAGCTCCTAATTTTTTATTAGTGGAGGTAAACATCAAAGAAACTTGGGCTGCATTAGGTGGATTCCTGCAGAGTTCCCATCTTACATAACAAAGTCTGATCTAAATCTTCAGCCACCAGCACAGCTAAAAAATCCAGATACCGAAGTTATAAAAAAACATTAAAAAAGCATTAGGTTCTCCACATTAACAATGAAATTTATCAGTCTTATCTACCATTTGTTAATTCTTAATATATTAATCTTTAAGATAATGCAGGACCAAAAATGCAGCAGTCAGCTACAGCACTCTGACTTGGAACACTTTTTGTCTCCTTAAATGGTTGGAGAATTTTGAGTCTGAAAAAGCAATTTACATCCCTGACATTGATCTGGAGCTAAATACAAAACAAAAGTTTTTAAAGTTTATAGAATCTGCTGAAAATAAAGGGTACGGTGCAAAGCAGTAAGAAGGGTAGTTAGAATGAAATTATGTAGGATCTCTAGCTCATTTCATATATGAAATGTAAAGCACTACTGACATCAAGAATGTAGGTCATTATTTATAGGATAGGCAAAACATTGATTCAGTGAACAACCTAGGTTTACTGAGAAACATCAACTGAACAGAGCTAAAAGGACATTATTTAAAAGTAAAAATATGTTTTGGGAATATAAAGAATATCAAACATAAAGAGTGGGGTACTACTATTCTGTAAAGAACCTTAGTGAGAATGTTACTCAGTATTGTACTCAATTAAGTTTTTGTTTTATAAAGGACACTGCCAACCCAAAAAGCTGACAAAAAAATCCACAAGGATGAACTACTGATTAGAAAAAACAACTTTACACTGAGACACTATGGAAACAATCAGTTCTAGAAAAAGATTCAAAAGTACTTAAGCATAACCTGTAAATGTATACAGGGGAGATATTTTTGATATGTTTGTTACATTTAGCAAAGATAAGAAAGCACCAATCAGAAAATGAAGCTAAGCAAATTTGGAAGAAATACCTTGCAAATTATCTTTTAAATAGAGAATAATCAATCACTGGCATCATTTACATAAAATAATACAAAGCCCACTGGACTGTCATCAAGCCTTTAAGTCAAGAATTTTTAGGTTTTCTAGCTATACTCTAGCTTAACCAGATATGTAGAGTCTAATGTAGAAATTACTGTTTAAAATTTCATTATTTAATAGAAACACATCAATCCAGAAAATCCCTGATTGTCCCTTCTGCCCTTACAATTTCACTCCGTGCATATTTTTCCACCAAACACAGTAGAGAGCCTAACTGTGAGTGAAGACTAGGGAGGATCATAGACTTTAAGGCTTAGACCTTAGTACTGAGCAATAAAGTTTCAAGCCTTAGTCATATGACTTCCCTAAGGAAGACAAAATATGTTCAGGAGTGTCTCAAGTACTTTGGATTTAAATTTGATCCTCATTCCACAGCTGACACTTTAATTGTAAGGCCTTTCTTAGCCTCACATCTATGAGACAGCAGAGGTGCTTTGGCAGACACACAATAGCTCTTTTATGAAAGCAGGTTCACATGCACCTGTAACCCTGCCCTGTTTACTGATTGCTTGTTTCTGCTCACCTTATGCTCTTCTACACATTTGCACAATGAAGTATTAAGATGGTAATATTCCTCTTCAATGGTTTAATGTGGATAAAAAAAAGTATCCTTAACTAAGTTTAAAAAAAAAAAAAAAAGGAAAGAAAGGGTATCTCAAAATGAAGGAAGAATATACAGAGGCCTGCATTAAGCAAACACAGTTACGAAGGCCAAAAGGTAAAGCAATGTATTTACTACGCTATATTCCATGGATCCCATTCCAGTGAATTTCACTGAGTTACTAATGGGATGCAGGGCTAGACTGGTACTAGCACGTCTGTCCTCACTACCCTTTCTTCTCTCGTTAGAAGCACAGTAGCAGTGACTGGGGGAGAAAGACGCTCAGTCGCTCATGTAATTGATGCCAGTCAGACTCTAACGCATACTGGCTCTGATCCACGCATGACATTTGAGGAACGGTGAATCAATCATCTTGCATGGCCGACCCAAGCAGGTCAGTTCCGCTGAAGAAAGCAGTTTTACTGAGCTGGACCATGTCCTGTGGTGAGGGCACATGCCACCACTGCGTAGCAGCCCTGCGTGCACTTCACACGACCAGCAGCAGGAAGGAACCTGAACCTTGGCACCATGAAGACTTAAACTCTGCTTCAACCAACCTCCAGTTCTCTGGAGAGTTACACTCAGTGCCACACGATGCAGCTCTTTGTACCCCATCATGACCTAGGCATAGTGTCACCTCCAGCCTTCTCCAGTCACTTACAACTCTATCCCATGAAGTGACAGAGATGTTTCTTCATGACCAGCCCACAACCAGCTCTGTTTACCCTCAGCGTGACCAAGCCACAGAGGTCTTCCTGACTGAGGACTCGATTTAGACTCCTACCCACAGACACCTGCTCTTGAGACCCTACAGTGTCCCAAGTGCTCTTCAACTGCTGCGCCAGAAACTCACGGTGCTCCCACAGGTCTTCCAAGTATTATGTGAATGTCTCAGCTAATCTACGGTATTGTCTCCTGATAATTCTTCCCTGTTTTTCTCATAGCTAACTGTGTATTTGATTCAGTTTACATATATAACTTATGGTGGTGAAGAGAAGAATGAAGTTACTGCATTAGCTCATGAGAAAGACAATACTACAGCATGCTACAAGAATTTAGGAAACTCAATTTGCCATGACTACATCTTCTTAAAGCCTGCACATCCTAATAGACACTGATGTAAACAGATACTAAATAGACCCAATTAGGCAAGAATGTTAATTCAAGATTTTATTGCTTTTGCTAGGTAAATTACATATGTACATGGGCTATGAAAACTCAGTATATAAACTAGGTACATATCCATATTACTTATACATATTATTTACTTCCGTCTACTACTTATTATCCTATGCACTTAGTGGTTTAATTTCCATTCTTATTAATGGATATCTTGAATTCAAAGTCTAAAACCATCAGATAGGTGATCATTAGCTGTCAGCGAGCTCTGTCAGGTTCTTAGGTACATGGGGGACAAGTCATTTCAACTGTAAAGATCACACTGATGGCACAACACACATTCATGATTAATAATTCATTCTCCATGAAGCTACTGATAAAATGGACATTTTCTCCACTTTTGGTTTTTACTTCATCACTGTTGACAATCCCATCTTTAAAATGCCTACTTTTTTTGTTATTTAAGTCTAATTTCATGTCAGGTATGCTATTATAAAGAAGTAACACTAACGATTTGTTAGTATTGCCCCTCTAATTACTGAGGCTAATATGAAAAAAACACTAAAAATTAAACATTAAAAAACTGCCAATTAAATTGTTCGATTTAGTATCTTAATGTGAAGATTAGGAACAGTTTTCTGAAACACAAACCTGAGGTAATTTTTCTGGAATAGGTTCATTCTGGAGAGCTTGAAGGGCCTTCATTGCAGCATTATGTCTAGCAGCTTGACGAGTCTTTCCTTCACCAAAAAACTCACTGTTGCCAACAGTTAACTGGACATAGAAAATTTTAGGCACTGGGCAGTGATACCTGGAAAGAAGTCATGAAAAGAAAACAGCAACATAAGTTACAAATTTTAACCATCAATTTTATGTAATATAGAGCAGTAGTTAGGGATACAACATTATGTTTTCTCACAGAGTAAGAACTAACACTCAAACACATGACTGATCCTCAGCAAGATCTTGGTTTGAGTCCTGAGATTAAACCTAAGGAGAACCAAAAGCTTCAGTGGAAGCCATGCCTGGGAGACAACTCCTGTCCCACAAGAAAGTGGCATGGAGGAAGAAGGATTGTGAGGTCTCTCACTTGAAGCATGCCAGCATAGCTCGGCTCTTGGGAACAACAAAAAGTGAGACGGCAGAGAGCGAGGGACCTGGACAATGTACTTCTAGCCTCTTTTTGAAGCTCAAGTATTGAAATTGTTGTAGAGGATAAGAAGGAGTTTTCTTCCAAAGTGTAACAGAGGGTAGGGAGCAGCTCTCCTCCAACACTGTAATAGCCAAAAATTTTTCGGGCACTGAAAGAAAATCAGCAATCAACACCACACTGTTTTCCTTTTTTTACTTTCCTACAGAAAAATTTCCATATATAATAGCCGGGTTTGTTGTTCTGAGTATGTCTGAAATGCACCAAAAGAAAGATAAAGCAAAAAATTGAACATTTTCCTATGAACCGGCACAGCTATTACTCCTCAAAGAAAGCAGTATCTTTATTCATATCATAAACTTCACATCTCTATTTTAAGTAATAAAAATAGCTAATCCATCCCATACTCCCTACCCTGAAACCTGTC